AGTCATGGTCCCATAGTGGATCCTTTTGTTCAGTGATGTGAGGAGTCAAATCTAAAACTTATGCCTTGACAAAAACAAAGGACGCATAGATTTTTACAAGGAATCATACAGCAGCTGAGGTGACATATCAGGGATCAAAAAGTAGAATAAGTGTGGATCTACAAATATTTGGGTACCATTATTGACAGTTTTATTAAACTTAGAGGCAAACTGTGTGCAAAAAAGGGTATTAGCGGCTTTATTGCCTCAGGAAACGTGTTCAGATTGGCCCCAATATGTTTTCTATCAAGCTTTTATTGAGTCTATGCTATTCTTCGCTATGGTGGCATGGTTTGGAAGTCTGTCCCTTAAAAACAGGAATAAACTGAGCCAGGTTATCTAGCAGGTTGATTGGGGAATCACAGCTGAGAATTTAATTCCTGTATAGTAGGCCGCTTTTATGGATTGCCCAGAGCATTAGTAGTTGTAGCTCTTGTCTTCGGGTCGAAGCTTTGAGATGCTTTTTAGGACAAAACGATACAGGAATAGCTTTGTCGTATCATCGCGCTTAATAAATTGTATTATTTTATAAAGTAGTTTGTTTTTGTGTGTACTTTATGTGTACATTATACATGCACACATATATATATATAAGCAATTCCATGCAAATGTCAACCTTGCCATGACAAAAATTAAGTTTTCGCCAAAACAGCAGAACCCTTTTTGTGTAGACTTGTATTTTACAGTGCTTTAAAAATATCAAGTTTAAAACTATATAAAGTTTGCTTTAAAAAATTTAAGTTTTTTCCTCACATGTAAAATCTTATAAAATCAATCATGTTTGTTCTATAGTGAGGCAACTCTTATCCTTTAGATTTGTTTCTTTTGGGTTGTGGAGTTTAATTCAGATAATTTCTACAAAGTATGTTGCATACTGTAAACTTGCTAACTTTTCTTGCTATGTTTATTTTCCTCCCTTAAAATATAAAACGTTTACCGATTGATATTTTTCTGCTCCCACAAGTCTGTGACTAGATGTTTTAAAAATAAAAAATAAACACACACACACACACACACACACACACACACACACACACACACACACACACACACACACACACTCTCATATATATATATATATATATATATATATATATATATATATATATATATATATATATATATTGAGGGTGTATATTTATATATACACATACAGGGGAGCGCGGGGCACAAAGTAACGCAGGGTTAAATGTAACAGAGTTTTAAGGTATTTGTTCAGGGTTTACCATGGCATGCTTCCGAGGTTTCCACCACAATGTCAGCTGACGTCCTCCTGCCACTTATTGAAAAAATTTGCCGATATTTGGATGGGAAACACAGGAGAATCCATTTTTGCAGCATAAAAGTATTTTTATTATAGTCAACATTTTTTTATTTTTAAAAAAATCTGTGAAAGTATGTTAGGAAATTCTTATATTGCTGTGATTACCGTCTTCTAGACTAAAAGATGAAATCATTTTAAGATAAACACACAGTGACTGCTAGCCAGTTTTGAGGAAAACATGACACAGCGGGGTTAGTTGTAACAGGGTGTTACAATTAAGCCACAAACTGTTGGACACCAACTAAACTAACAAAATATTTTTTTGGAATTTTGAGTGTAATGCTGAAAACTTTTAAATAAATAGAAAAAACATATTGCTAATAATACAAATTAATGCATTGTATAATAATGGATAAATGGATAATAATGCAAATAGATTCAAATGTGTTTATCCAATAAACAAATAAATACAAAAACATCCTGTGCTATGTAGAGTAAAAAAAAAAAGAGCCAACTACTGAGGAATTTGTAGCATTTGTAGAAGTGGCTTGTGTGTTATTGGTAAAAAAAAAAAAAAAAAAAGGTTTGTCTACCCCCCCTAACTTTGTTCATTATTTGGCCAAAACCAAAAAGTGTTACTTTGTGTCCTGCTCTCCCCTATATACTTTTTCCGGTGAAGCACCGTGGCCTCGGACTTGGAGGTGCTGATTCTCATCCCAGCCACGTCACACTCAACTTCAAACCGCCTCAGTGCATGCTGAAGGTCCATTTTTGATGAAGCCAACAGAACAACATTGCCTGCGAATAACTAAGATGAAATCTTGTGGTCCCCGAACCAGACCCCCTCCAGCCCAAGGCTGCGCCCTGAAATTCTGTACATAAAAATTATGAATAGAATCGGTGACAAGGGGGGTCCAGCATGCACTGCAAACAAATCTGACTTATTGCCAACAATGCGAACCAGACTCCTACTCTTTTTATACAAGGATTAGACCCCTTCACAGTACAGTGGCGCCCCCAGAAAATTTTCTTAGGGATGGCCAGAAGAGGCCGCACCAAATCTTGGGGTGGCACACAAAAAAATTATGAATTCAGTGTAATGTTATATTTTTGTTTTTGGTAAATGTAATAATGTAGTTTTTATTCATTTAATTAATTCTTCTTGAAATATTGCTATTTATTCCTTGAAGTAATTCAGGAAGTACATGTGCAAACCAAATAAAAATCTGTTTAGTTTAAAAACACTTTTCATATATATATATATATATATATATATATATATATATATATACTGTATAAATAACTTTTTACGTGCTTTTATTGTACATCATACGGTATATGCCATGTCTAAAATTAATGAAGATTAATGAGTTTATTATTCCCAGAGATGGGTTGCAGCTGGAAGGGCATCCACTGTGTAAAAATGTGCTGGATAAGTTGGCGGTTCATTCCACTGTGGCGACCCTGGATTAATAAAGGGACTAAGCCGAAAAGAAAATTAATGAAAGAATGATAAGTTTATTAATAACCCAAACAAATGAACAAACTGAACAAAAGGGATTACTATACACACTCACTATACCTAATAATATCATTTATCCATATTACTTTTTGAGCCATTTTATTAATGCAGCTTCTTCTATTGATATACTGTACCTTAAGGTAAATATTAAATTGCCATTGCTGTCTATTGAAGATGTGTGCGTGCTGTCAACGACGATCGGGAAGGGTAGTGGCGGTTCTAGTTTAAATGACACCCTGGGCGAACCACCCTATACACCCCACCTCCCTTGAATTGTTAGATTTGTTATTCAATAAATATAACAATCTATTTATATTTATACTAAATAAATACAATTATTATTATACAATTATTATTCTGAATAAATAACAGAAATCAATCCTAAATATTACTGGAAAACAACAACTGGAGTGATATGCCAAGATCACTTAAGAAACCTTTTGCATGAAAATTAATTATGACAATTCTAAAGAATACAAAAAATGTATTATAGAATTATCAGTGGTCTTAGACCAGATCATGGCTGAGAAATCATGTTATGAAGTCTCACCTCCCTGACTCATTATCCCTCCTTTCTGCTTTAAAGGCATGCTAAGTGAAAGTAACATCATCATCATCATATTATATAAACTTTAGACGACTTTCACCTCTGCACAAAAGGCTGTTACTCCGTTTCACGGCGCATGAGCGGCGCGTATTTTGTCGGCGTGCATGCAAACAACCAACGCGGGAATGGTTTTCTGCGCGCATGCGTCAGTTTGCTTTCACCAGCATTCAGCATTGAACCAGCACTAAGGGGGAGAGACAATGAATCAGCTACGTCAGTAACACCAACAATAATTTAGTGGTTGCATTTTATTTATTTAAACTTTGGGGATTTATAAGTACATTTAAATCAATAATGTCAACAGCAAAATTATATTGGGGTGGCCCCAGGGGTGGCCGTGGCCACCCCTGGCCACCCCTTGGGGGCGCCCCTGCCACAGTATGCCACAAGGGAAACGATCAAATGCCTTCTCAAAGTCCACAAAACACATGTGGACTGGTTAGGCATACTCCCATGAACACTTGATCACCCTGGTGAGGGTATAGAGCTGGTCCACTGTACCACGGCCTGGACGCAAACTGCATTGTTCCTTCTGGATCTTAGGTTCAACCATTGGCCGGATCCTCCTCTCCAGTACCCTGGCATAGACTTTCCCCAGGAGGCTGAGTGTGATCCCCTTATAGTTGAAGCACACCTTCCGGTCCCCCTTTTTAAAAATGGGAACCTCCACCCCAGTTGTGCAGTCCAGAGGTACTGTCCCTGACCTCCATGCGATGTTGTAAAGACGTGTCAGCCACGACAGCCCCACAACATTCAGAGACCTATCTCATCCACAACCGCTGCTTTGCCACTGCGGAGCTTATGTATATAAATATATATTTTACAGTTCTGTCTGGTTCTTGAATCTGATTGGCTGATATCTGCAAAATCACCCGTTTTGTCATAACTTTAGACATTATGCTAGAGGATCATTCAAACACTAGCTCTAAAGTGACGTTGTTGAATTGATGTGAATAAATGGTGGAAGAAAGTAGTCCCGCTTACAAAAGAACTATTCGATTGGCTGGTGTTTGATTTTCTTTTTTACATACACGATTATGCCGTTGAACTGTTGTATAAACACAATATCACACTTTACAATTAAATTCATTCATTTTCTTTTCTGCTTAATTCCTTTATTAATCTGGGGTCTAAATGAACCGCTAAATTAATGCAGCAAGTTATACGCAGCGAATGCACTTCCAGCTGCAACCTATCACTGGGAAACACCCATACACACACATACACTACATCCAACTTAGTTTATTAAGCTCACCTTTAGTTTGGATTGTACCTGGAGGAAACCCACGCCAACACTGGGAGAACATGCAAACTCCACACAGAAATGCCAACTGGTCCCGCCAGGACTTGAACCAGCAACCTTCTTGATGTGAGGCGATCGTGCTAACCACTGAGCCACCATGTCGTCCTGAAAATAATAATTTAATTACTCAAAAATTTAGTTTATGTTGACTGATTCTGCAATTGAATCTGAAAGTCTGAAAATATAATGTAAAAAGCAGATTTGACAAAGTAAAGTCTTCTGTGATCATCAAATCAGTGAGCTGAGTCAATAAATAAGCGTTTCATCACAATTTCTGATTTTTATTTTTTATTTTTCCATAGTTCAGAACATAAAACAGTATTGTGGATCTTTCCACATACACTATGTATTCACATAATACACCATACACTACAAGGAGAGAGACCAAACAAAAGATAACACTTTTTACATACTGCATACTCAACATGTAAAATAGAACCAAGAACAATCTTCAACTCAAAGGAATGTAGCTGCCAGTTTTTTTTTTCTTTCTTTATCCTCTTTAGACATTTTGATGTAGAAAACTGGGCATGATTGATACTCTTAAAAGGTGAGTGCTGATAAATGGGGCAGATTAGTGTGTGTATGTGAGAAAGTGTTGTGTTTGTGTGTGTTTGTATGTGACAGTGTTGCCGAAAGGCAGATGTGGGTAAATAAAAAGAACGAGTATATTCAAACATAAATGAGCGAAAACGCATCTCTGGGCAGTTCAGCGAGCACCAGAATATTAAAATAACAGTCTATTCACATCAAAAGCATGAGAGTACCTATTCCTCTACCTGCCATCATGATCTTCAAGTACCATCATATAAGGTGAGAGCTAAAAAGAGAAACTGGATCAGTTGGAGTGCTTTTAGTTATTGTGATCATCTGAAATTACTAAGTAAATCATTTTGAAATGATCAGCACCATATGTACGTTTCCTCTCAAAACAAGTTCACATGTCAATTTAAGAGCTCAAAGAACTGCAACAGTGTTTGCCAAGAGTCATTTCCACAGTGAACTCTAGGGGGTAGCACCATGGTTCAAAAGCCATTTGAATAAAACTCTGCTGGGCTTCAAGAGTACTCTTGAAACGCCGCTATTTAAACTTCAGGGGAAAGTCTTGTATCTCCAAGAACAAGTGACAGTCGAGGATAACAACGTCAGTGCAGACTCAGAGTTCTTTCAGACTCACCCCATGCAATATTTCATGAAATAAAAAGAAGCATTACATGAGTAAAGCCACCTAGACTTCTGAACTGAAAGCGGTCACGATTCAAACTGCAAGGTATTCTTTCCCGTCTATGGCCAAATTCATGTTAAAAAAAAGATCTTCCAATCCCTTTGAGAAATTATGTAAGTCCTGAATCCTTATGAACTGTATTGGTCAACATGGTCACATTCTTTGTTCTCCATTTGTTAATGGTTTATAAATGTGGATCAGATGCAGGAAAAGGAAGCCGGTGACAATGGTAGCACAGAGGTATTGGTGTAAGTACAGTACTCACAATAGGAAGGACAGCAGTATCTTGAGTTGCCACAAAGCATCCTGCTTTGCGGTCTGTTGTTGACGGCTTGACATACAGACAACTAAAAATTCAGGAATCATTCATGATTAGGCCATCATCCCTCACCAGTTAAATTATCTTACCTAAATATTTAACTATTTACATTTCTATCTCTCCCAATAAAATTCCATTAAAACAAAAACTAGGCTTCAAGTTGTCAATAATCCGTTCTCATTTTTTTTTCCATCGTCCTCATTAAAATCAAGATAAAAAGTGCTTTTTATAAAATCCTCTCTTCAATATTTACAATTTTTCTAAAATGAACAAACCAAAAAAAAAAAAGAAAGAAAGACAGCAATCACAATAACAATAATCATCATCATTATCATATAATAAATAATAATTACGAGTGTGGATGTAGGCAGCGAGCCTGCAGTATGTAGCGACCGTGTGTTTGTAGCATGTTGTGGGACCAGTGTCTGTACAACATGAGGTAAAGAGCTTTAGGACCACTTAATGAGCACCAGAATCTGTCCTCTGTGAGTGTCAAGCATCTTACAGCCCTGTGTAAACCAGTGGCAGCCCTGCATTGCTCCCTGTACATAGCTCACAGACAGGCATCACATACATTCTGACCGGTGTGGGTGCTTGTTTTGGAATCCAAACACGCACACACTCACACGCGTACACACATAAAACAGGGCTGAAACTATACAATGCCATTCAGCACCATGAATTCCAGGTGTGGGTGATCTCTGAGGGCAAGAGGAGAGAAAGAGGAATGCTTACAACAATGAGCAGGGGGGCAACTTTACAGGAGTATAGACTCATAGTAGCACCAACTCCAAAAAAATGTGCTCTGTCCATTAGGCTGGCGAGTTTAACCAGCAGTGGGTGGGAATAGATCCCCAAAATAATAACTTTATCAGTCATACGGGTATATCAGGACATGGAAGACATGTTCAGTTTACACAGGGCCAGCGATTTAGAGAATCCCATTCAAGCACCTTATGCACCTACAAGTCACTACGTTTATTATCTCAAAGTCCTACAGTGATCTGAACATATCTAGGGTGATTTAAGCAGAGACTGCAGAATTCCAATACAAACTAAGTGATGGTTTTAGAACTCCCTGTTTGAGCTGAGTCTGGACTGTCTACATGGAAATCACAAGCTTAAAACCTGTGGTGGGTTGCCTTGCAGCTTTTTAGGGCAGCTCTATTAAGGTGAATATTTGCTATCACTATCAGCACCTTAAAGAAGTTTGTTTACATGGTGTCCCATGGGTAAAGAAGAATGGCTGCAAATGAGTCAGCACCAATCAGATGACATGATGGAAGGCTAAGCCAATTACAAGGACTTTGAGGTCCCCATCACTGAACATGACTGACATCTGCTGCTAAAGAGCACCCAGGTCCAGCACCTGCCTCGATATTGTGAGGGCAAAATCAGAGACACTTGAGACTGAAAAAAGCACCATTTGAAGGGATGAGAGACTTTCCTTAGAGTGGCACCAAACAGAAAGGCCTAAGCTGGCGTCAGGTCCTCTCTTTCTTGGTCACATGTTCAGTGACTAGCACAATGAGCAAATACTCTATATAGAGTTGCTTTCATGCAGTCACATAAATGTGACTCGCGATGATGTGAAGGTGCATCATTAATCGAGAGGCTGGAGAGGCGAAAAGCGCAACGAAAATGCTGATTAGCTTGTTCTCGTTTTCATAGAGATCAAGCGAGAATGAAGAAAGGAAGTCCCTCTTAGTAAGAGGACGAAAAATCATAACGTTAAAAACAATGATAAAAAAACAATAACATTAAAATAAAAATAGTCATCTTCATAATATAATAACAATACCTGTAATATCAACATTAACAGTAACAATAGCAAATGTAATAATATTGATAATAGAGCAATAATTAGGATCATCAAATTCACTTAAGGAGGGGTAGCTATGGAAGTCCCTCCCACGTTGGAGAGAGAAAGAGCACCATAGACAGCGTGTCCGTTTGGGGAACTCCCAAACTGCTGCCAAAATTTGAGGTAAAAGAAATAAAAGTGAAAAAAGTGCCCCTTCCTCTATTCTCCCTCTCTTTCAGTGGCCTGACAGAGGTGTTGGAGCTAGAAGAAGGGAAGCAAATGGTAAAGGAGTAAGATTTATGACCCTTATCATTTCTGTTCCCATCTCTGGCTCCAGGGGGCAACAGTCTACAAGAGTTCACACAAATCGACTGTAAGGACCAGTGAGGTGTGTGGACGGGTAAGGTGAAACTGTGACTATGGTGGTGCTATGCTGTGTTGGGGCCATCCGTGTCACTACACCCTCCCGTTTGTCCTTAGTTTGTCCAGGGGACGGGCTTGCTGACCCAGCCGCCCATTTGCGCTTTTTCCCGTAGGCCTTGATTTCTTCCTGTGAGAGACCCAAAAGAGCAGCTTCTTGTTGCCGTTGTCGCGCTCGCTCTGCCAGGATTTTCATCTTGGATTCCCACAAAGCCAGACCATGGCAGGGCTGGTTCAGGTTCTTGTGCTGGTAGAAGACCAGGGATATGCGGCTTGGGTGAGTGCGGTCAGGCTTTTTAAGCGGTGTGGTGGCATGGAGTTCTCGACGGGCACACTCAATCAAGACACAACCATGAGCAGGTGCAACTGCTACTCCTCCGATGTTGGGATCCAAGAAGTTGTGTTCACTGTCCGACCAAACCTCGTCCTCTTCAGGATCTCGTTCACTTTGTGTCTCTGCTCCACTGTCCCAACATGCCTGGCCGTCCGACCTTTGCAGTGCATCGGGAAACAATCGGCCCTCAGGAGCTGGGGATGGCGTGCTACCTGCTGCTGACCCACCACCAGACTTCCAGGCTTTCTCCTGGAGTCCAAGGGGTGCTGAGCCACAATTTACACCTGCCTGGGAAAGCATGTTATCAGGGTAAGCACCAGCAGGGTTGCCTTGCCTGATAACACCAGCACCATAACCCATGGGACCATAGGGACCCCATGCTTTAGGTTGTGGACTAGGGGCAGGACTTCCCCACTGCCTTGGGGTGGACGGGTGTGGAGAGGGTGCAGGTGATAGACCTGCTTTTAGGGATGGGGACGGAGATGGGGCAGGAGATGCCATTGGAGTGTTTGGGCAGGAATAGGAATTCCACTGTTGCTGCTGTGGATATTGAGGGTGTTCGTGTTGGTGTTGCTGGTGGAGCCTCTGCTTATCTGGTGTGAAGGGTGAATTATTTGAGGCCGCTCTGATGTTTCCATCCCAGCCTTTAGGTACTAGACTGCCGTTTGGTTTGTGCCCATGCCATCCTTCAGGTGTTGGTGTTGTACTAGGAGTGGTCGGGCAGCTCTGCGCTTGACCATCTGATCTTGCTTCATACAATGGTACATCCATGGGCTCCTGCTTGACTATGGGTTTTGAGCGGTGTGTCTGCTCAAGAGACATAGATGGAGTACGACACTGCGAAATATCAGAGGGTTGTGGGTAGCCTTGAATGGATGCATCAGCCATTTGTGCCTGAGACTGTCCATGATGGGTGGGATAGGCCTGTGCCAGATTGGCTTGGAGACACTGAACATCCGGCTTCTGTTCAAATGCTTGGGCAGAGGGTTCTCCGTTTTTGGGCCAGGCTCCTTTATCATATCTCAAGAGCTCAGGAGAGAAAAGTGCACTGGAAGGGTAGTTGTAATAACCATATCGTATATCTTGGAGGTTAGGGTGAAAGCCATTGATGGGGTTCTGTGCAGGAGGATGACTGTTGCCAGGGATGCGACCTCTTGCATAGTTCCCAGGGTAGGAGAACGAACTGTTCATGTTATGGGGATCAGGGTTTGTCTTGCCATTCCCTAGTGCTTGGTAACCATGTATGGCTCCATTGAAGGGCTGGAAGTGGTCGACAGGCTCTTTTTTAATTGTTGGTTTCACCTCCTGTTTTGGAATAGCTACAAAACAAAAAACAAAACAGTATATTAAAACATTTAGTTCATAGTTAGTTCAAAACTTTATTGCAAAAACAAATTCCATTTTTAATGTCAGCCCAATGTCCAAAGACCACATCTCTACAACGCCCCCACTTTAGGTAGATTACTCCCTTTGTTCAGAATTGTATATCTGCTGCTTATCATATGAGTGAAAATGATTTAACCAGTAACCTTTATTGCCTTGCTGAATGTGAGGTGACTCTGCATGGCGAATCTCCATCTTGACGGTCTTCTCTGGAGTTTCTGCTAGCTGCAATTTCCTGTTCTTTTTCTCTGATGCAGCCTTTTTGGCCTCCAACCGACGCTGGCGGCATGATTTTGCAGGTTCTGGAAGTTTTCTAACCTCTCGACGGAAGTTAGCGAGCACCTGGATGGCTCCTGTCTGCATTTTGAGACGCTGGTTCTCCTCACTACCAAACTCGTCGGTTGTAGCGAGCTTGTAGAGCGGAAGCACGTGCAGCTGCTCATCTTCTGGGATTGTGCCCACTGTACGATTGTCCTCTTTCGTGAGAGTGCACACCTATGAGAAGGAAAAAAATGAGGAAGTGGGAGGCTAAAGTAACTACTTCAACCATTCTGATATCTAACATCTAATGCACACAACAATGTTCCCAAAAACATCCAAACTCGACAAGTTAATCATTTAGTGAATTACATTCATTTGAACAGGAATAATTTATGTATTACAGCTGACATTGTCATGCAGTGATCACAGCACATCCTTGCATAATTTTGTGTGTGTAAAGAAAAACACCTGCTCTTTATTAAATCAAAATATTTTCAAATGGCACCACAGAGAAAATATGTAACTCTACATAGCCACATTGTTTATGCAAATGCATGTCCACAGTAACTTACCACAGTGCAGCCATTGTGGAGGTTATGCTGGTCTTTGTGAGCGTGGGCACAGAAATCCATGCATGCAGTGATTCCTGAAAATGGACGTCCTTCCTTCAATCCCAACCGACAGTCTGAAGCAACATCCTCATGTAAACACTAAATAAAACAGAAAAAAATCCATTTTCAGTATTTGTTCAGAATCCATTATCCACTATATATTTATATTGTATTCAAACATTATAATTATAAGCATCTTAATTACTTGAAACCACACCAAACCTTTAAGTCAACATTCCAATTCCTTTATTTGAAGAGCCCCTATAATGAGTTTTTAAAGATGACATTCCATGCAGTGTGTAACACAGCTCTAAGTAAATGAAATATCCAGCTGAGGTTTAAATCTGAAATGTGTGGACAGTGTTTAAAACTATTGATTCTTTAACAAAAAAGTTGACTCAGAGTTGAATAAATAAATCATGTTGGGTTTAAATCTTTTGCTTGAATGCTTCAACGTTAATACGGTATATCATCAAATATGAAGTGGTGGTTCCGGTGAAATGTGAACGCGCCTTTCACTTCAGACACTATGACGAACACTGACAGATGGAGATTCGGCCGCGGGGAATAAAGGGTTAAAGTTCATTTTCACAACAACACCACAGTATAGCCAACCGTGTGCTGTTTGTTCCTGTCTTTTTTCTGATGAGTGGCGGGATCATCCCAGCTGTTTGCAATTAGAGGAAGTAGCAGCAGAGACTATTATGTGTGGGGCTTTGTCTGGTATTGTCAGGGACTTTGTCGGTAACTGTTACAATTCATATGGACCAATTTCTTCTTCCTCCGGATCATAACATGTAACTGTAATTAAAATTGTTGCCTTGTTTTGTGTAGTTTGCAAAATGTGTATTTATTTGTGTGTTGTAACTTGTAATCACCCCGCACGGCTTGTAATCATTTAATCAATCATTCATTCATTCATTCATTCATTCATTCTCTTTTCGGCTTGGTCCCTTCATTAATCCAGGGTCGCCACAGCAGAATAAACCGTCAACTTATCCAGCACGTTTTACGCAGCGCATGCCCTTCCAGCTGCAACCCATCCCTGGGGAAGGCTAGTAATCACTTATCTATTATAGATCAGTGCTCAGGTTAAACCTTTATGGGCTATGTCTTCTTGAAAACGCAACATGTACTTTTTCCTTTACCGCTTTAAAATTTGTTCGCAATCTTTGCTATATCCACCTTTAGCTGTTCCTCACATTCGCGGCACGGCCAATTTTCAAAATAGTTCCACTTTTTTCACTGTGTGGATTAATACTGAATGTGTTAGGGTTAAGAGTAGAGTAATATTCTGGTGTTTCTGCATTTCTTTATTGCAGGGGTGGCCAAGCCTGTTCTTGGAGAGCCACCTTCCAGCAGATTTCAGTTACTACCCATATCAAACACACCGGAACCAAATAATTAGGACCTGAATACCATGTGATAATTACAGGCAGGTGTGTTTGATATGGGTTGCAACTGAAATCTGCAGGAAGGTGGCTCTCCAGGAACAGGCTTGACCACCCCTGCATTCCTGCATTGGCCTCTCACATACACTGTGTGCTACTTCATAGCCGTGTTGGGCATTTCTCTGTCTTGTGCTGAACCCAGTCGACCAATCACAACAGAATAGGTCATCAGACCAATCACAAATTAGTTTCGTGCTAAGGATGGGTTTGGGAACAAAATAATTCCTGAACAAATCATGTGGCAGTCGTTAGGATAATGAGGTAAAAATTCATGCATATTATAAGACAATCAAAGTGTTTTTTGACCTTGCATGCAAATCAGCCTGTTGTTGGAGACCCCCAAACCAAAAGATGATCTCTTATAATGCGAAATAGGGGCTCCTTGATGTGCCTGAATGGTATAAAATCAGTTTAATGACTACACTGACTACTTCTAATAATAAAACAAACCTGGTTGCTGTAGGCCTGGGGAGCTAGCTTCTTATACAGAGGGGCCACATGTGTGGCCAAAGCTTGGAAGTTATCCCTGAGATTGTCCTCCTATACAAAAAAAATAAAAAAATGTAAATAGCATGTACAGTAAATGGTTGTGTTCGCATAGTAAAGGGTTGTGACTGGCAAATTTATCGACTAACATTCTGTTCAAGCAACAGCTTAGTTCACACTGCACAACTTTAGTCCCAATTATTCACTTACAGACAGGTTTTGTGAAATTGCTGGCAAATGCCTGAAATCTGAGCCAAATTGGTGCTCGTTAAAATAAGTGAGAGTCACAAAGAGTGAATTATTAAAGATATGATCAGAAAGAATTGCTTACGTGTCACTGACACCTGTGAAATATTTGGCATGCTAAACAGCTGAACCTGTCTGTGTGAAAAAAGTTCTGATGGAAAAACACAATGCACACTACAGCCAATAAGAGAGCAAGATACAGCGCAGCAGGGAGTTCAGAGAGGAGTTAAAAACCACACTTTCAGGAATCATGGCTTGATTTTCTTCATGGTCTTTTTGTACCAAATTAATAAAGGAAATTTTGGCAAAGGGTGACGGTTAAGCTTATTAGCTGCATTTTTTTAAATCATGCAGTGTGAACTCGGCATAACATAAATTAAACCGATAACCAAAGTCAGAAACTCAAACAGGTTTGAAACATGTGAAGGGTGCATAAGTTGAACTATCCCATTAAACAGCACAATGTTATTTATCTGTCAATTCACAACAACAGAAACTCATATCTCATTCAGTAACCAAAAACATGCTATATTTAACTATATATCATTAATTACTTAATATAGTTTGGAATGGTTCCCTTCACATTTCAATATATATTTTTAGGTAGTTAGGGTGATGTGAAATTATATTTGGGTATTTTTTTAGTTTATATAAAAAATAAATAGAAAAAAAAAATGTTAGTAAAATCAAAGTATGCCTTTATTTATATTTAACTAACCTCTTTGGGGTGCTCTCCCTGCAGTCTGAACTTACGAGGGACCTTGCTTCGAGCATACTTGCATCCATTGAAATACATGCTCCAGGAACAGCCAAAAGAGAATGAAGCTCCACAGGTCTCTGGGTCCTTCCCTTGACATGCACAGGTTCGACTGGAAAATGCATCCAACATGGATTTAATTAGTGGTCACAATTAATGGATTCAATGAGTTGATCTGACAAACTGAGAATTGAAGGGGTAAAGAAACGTGATTTAGGTGTTTTTGAACATGGCATGGTTGTTGGTGACAACAGCTAGACTGTATTTTAAAATGCTTCAAAATCAACCGGAATATTGACATGCACAGATCAATAGGGTTTACAGAAAATCTGAAAATGGAAAACTATCTAATGAAGATCAGTTCTGTGGGCAAAAAAATGTCTTGTTGATGCCAGACGGAAAAGGAGAGTGGACAAACTTGTTTGAGGTGATAGACAAGGCAGAAGTAACTCAAATATCTGCAGATCAGCATTATTCAATGCACACAATTCTGTTCATCTTTATTTCTATGGCGCTTTTACGATATAGAGCGTGTCAAAGCAGCCTAACAGAAGTTCTAGTAAATTGAACCTGCATCACTCCAGTTTTCAGAGTTGTAGTTTAGTTTAGTTTAGTTCAGTGTGGTTTAAATGTCACTGCTGAAAGTCCAAACACTGAAGAGCAAATCCATTGATGCGCAGCTCCACAAGTTCCAAACCAAGCAAGCCAGTGGTGGCGAGGAAAAAACTTCACCAGTTGACGAAAGTAAAGGAAACACAACATATCCTACTTTGAAGTAGATGATCTTTAGCAGCAGAAGACCACACAGTGTGCCATTCCTATCAGTAACATCCCGTGATGGCTATTTCCAGCAGAATTGATTGAATTACATCTTTTGAATGTGGATTCTTGAATATGACACTGAGTTCATCAAACTCACATGGCCTCGCTGGTACCAGATCTCAATCCAACAGAGCACTTTTGCAGTGTGTTGAAACATGATATTTGTATCAGGAATGTGCAAACATCTCATTTGCATGCGTTATGGTCAGCACTGACGTAAATTTCTGAAGAATATTTTCAGTACCTTGTTGAATCTAAGCCATGAAGATTAAGTTCCTCAAAGTTGTTGGCGTGTGTCATTTCATGCTTTTTATTATTTAACCTTCAAGGACACATATCTATTGTGTTCAAAACTTACTCTTCATTGAGTCCACAGCGACGGCTGGTGGGATTGCCATATTTGGTGATGGTTTCTGTGACTTCTCTGTACAGTTTATCTCCCAGAGCACGGGGCACACCTTCCCAGGCCAGGATGACAACAACGATGACAGTGTTGGCACAGTGGTGCCCAGGCCGTTGCTTCACAACGCACAACACTTTCTCCTTTTCACTGCTGCGACGTAACACCTATGAAGAGAACATTACAGTCTATAATGACAAAGGTATATGAGTGATCTTAAGGGTGCAGTATGCAAGTTTGACACTAAGTGGTTGATCTAGGCATTGCACCCCTGGATCAAAACAAATGCAAGTGCAGGTTGCCAGATTGAGGACGAGCAAGTAATTTAAACAGTGTTCTAAATAAAAGCAACAGCACTTGATAGAATAAATATTTTTCATATTAAAAGTTTTTGTAACTAACACCTCGAATTTATAGAAACGGCTTCTATCTCTCACAGGTGAACAACAGAAAACTTACAATGATCACCTCAGGTACACCTCATGTGCTTTATGTAGTGTTAAATGCTAATAATGAGAGTTAAATGCTAATAATGCGAGCTTGTATTTTGTTTAACATGACATTTATTGTCATATACTAAAAACCAGGGGAGCCAGCAGGATTTTTTTTATTTCTAGGTACGCACAAATCCAGCATCCTCTCCCACTCATGTCAAGAAACACTGATGCTTACTGTAAAAGGCTACATTATTTAAGGGCATACGTTACGACATAATTCGCTTCCTTTTTCATTTTAATGAAATAAAAGCACATCAGCTTCAAGGAAAAATCAAACGATCAATACATAGCTAATCTTTAAAATTATGACACATTAAAACATTTGCAAATATATGACAGATATAAACTGAACCCTACATCTGCCTAATTATGAAGAACTTGAGCTTGATTATTCATCTGATCAGTCAGGTAAGCACTCGGCTAGCTGATTTTAAATATATGTCAATTGCAAACTTACCCACTTAGCAATAGGACATCCCTGAGAGCTCTTTCCTTCTCGCCCTGTGTAAACCACCTTTTCAATGCGAACGGCTTCCCCCTTCTCCCCATACCTATAAACATGAGGGACAGAACTTGAGCAACACACTCAAATTGCAAAGTTTACATGACATGTACTTGGTCAACAATTGCTTGTCTTCTCAAATAAAACTAGCATGACTAGCATGTGGTAAGTATAAGTGCCTGTTCAGTTATAACTATACAGTCCGGCGGAGAAGCCTGAAAGATCCACAGGGGTGGGCTAAGAGGTCAAAGGCCACAAAAGGGTCAGTCTTAGGCTTAAGAAGGCTATAGTCACTGTCTGACAGACAAACAAAGGGGAGGTTCTTCCTTTACCCACCAGCTCCCCCTTTATCTCTCAGGAGATGACACAGGCTATAGAAACACAAGAACTTTACCCCCAAATCGCTCTCTAATAAAGCAATGAGAGTGGACAAGTGTAACAGAGGTCCGCAAAGGTGGAGATACCCTGTCCAAACGGGTCAAGGCTTCTGTGTGCTTATAGGGGAAAGGTGGGGGCAAAACCCTGTGGAGCTGTTTATATCCTTTCTCACATCCAACTAATCACAGGATCAAGAAATACCCAGTAAATATTGTTTTTAACCTTGATTTACTTCAAATTCGATTGGAGATTTTGAACATACAGACCCTAAATGCCATCACTGCTGTAAAACAATGATGTTACCTTCAAAAAGCTATAGCATAGTCGTTGCTTAAATCTTTAATATGCTTCTTTAATTTATGCCCCAACCTTCTCACTTTAGCTCATGCTTCAATTCTACTTTAATTTCCTTTGAATTCTTTCTCTCATCCCTTAAGTTTCATTGTCTCTGTCTCCTTGTCTTTCCCTTATGTGGATCTGCTGATGCCAATATTTCCTGTTACTCCTGTTGGATTCTGGGTCAGGAATACCCTGGGGACAAGATCATAGAGAAGGAAGGTGGGAGGAAGGGGTGAAGGGAGAGCAAACTGCAGAAAAAAAGAGATGCTTATCCTCAGCTGGTTAAGAAACTGTTGCCAGGATCCAACCGTTAGAGATTTCAAACAACTCTTGCAGAACAATGACAGGGTCACTATGGAACTCTTAAAGCAAATGACGTGGGGTCAGCAGTACTCTTCTCTTAAGCAACCTTCAATTTTAAACAAGAAAAATGTAATTCAATCTATAAATGGAAATTAATTTAGTTTAACTGATATTTCTCTTTATAGGTGTATGAGAAAACTCTCCATCTACTATTTTGGTAATGTTACATAAAAAGGGCGGTAGAGAAAAGGCAGATGTTAAATTAAATGCAGGCATGATGACCTTTTAGTTCAACCTTAAAAATGTTCTCCAGGTAATGATATTGTTTTTAAAGAAAGCAAGAAGCATTGAGTTATTTTCTGACTTCCCAAAAATAAACCCTTTCAGAGTAGGATTGTAATGTACTGTATGTTCCCACATTAACCTTTCATGTGTTGTAGGTTGAAATGTTCACAACAAAAATTGTCGAAGGAGGTCATTATGGATTGCATTCATTTGTTTTCCTCCAGCTTAGTCCCTTAATTCATCAGGGGTCACCACAGCGGAATAAACCGCCAACTTATCCACCTGGAACCCTGTACTGGGAAACACCCATATACACTCACACACTATGGTCAATTTTGTTTATTCAATTCACCTCTAGTGCACGTTTTTGGACTGTGGAGGAAACCGTAGCACCCAGTTAAAACCCACACAAACACGGGGTAAACATGCTAACTCACCCAGAAATGCCAACTGACCCAGCCGGGATTACGAACCAGCAACCTTTTTGCTATGAGGTAACAGTGCTAATCACTGAGCCATCATGTCGCCATTATGAATTGCAATTTGAGTCAATTATTATTTTGAAATCTGCTTGGCATCTCACCTATCTTCCATCAGTTGTCTGACTGAAGGTATATCTCGTCCAGATCCCAAATGATTGTAATATGGACCTTCATCCTTTTCAAGGACTTGGTCTAAGGGAGTCAGAGAGAAAAAAAGAATGCAGGTTAAAGCATTGACACACTCTTATACAATAATGGGCTAATTTAGACTGCTGATGTGTAATGATTGATAGTATGAATCAGTCGTGTGTGGGCTACCAAAAAAAAAAAGAAATGTACGAAGAGCTGTTCTGTAAAAGAGGCAATCTAAGGTCACATTCTGCTCAGGGTGTATTTAGGGATATAAGCATGACTGAAGTAAGGAAATTCTTCGTGGGAACTTCCTACACAAGTCTAAAAAATAATCATCTACTAGCTGCTATCCACCTATACTAACATTATGACCACATAGAGACTATCAAACGACACCGGGTGTTCCCTGTGGCATTGACAGAATTATATAAGGCAGGGATGTCCAGACTCTGTCGTGGAGGCCTGGTGTCCTGCAAAGTTTAGTTCCAACCCCAATCAGACACACCTGGGCTAGCTAATCAAGCTCTTACTAGGCATTCTAGAAACCTCCTTGCAGGTGTGTTGAAGCAAGTTGGAGCTAAAATCTGCAGGACACTGGCCCTCCAGGACAGAGTTTGGACACCCCTGATATAAGGATTGACTATGGAACCCTTCCTTCTTTTGTCCATTTTTCTTAGTACCAGTCAAGCTCCAACAAGTGTTTGGCAGTTTACTACACTTCAATGAACACTTATTTCTATACTTTTTTTATTTTATTTCATATTTGCCAAAAAAAACCCTGACTTTTCCAGATTACTAGCTGGAGGACAAATAGAGGACACCTTATTAGAACACCTTCTAACAAGGTTACAATGCAATCATACAATGTAACTGTTTCTCACACTTCACAACCTCTAAAATAACAAAATAAGAGCTATGAGGGCTGAGCCGAAAGGTTGCAGTCCATCCCTTCTCACCCTGTCCTCCCTATTCCCTCCCTTCTTTGATGTCTGGCCACAGTATAGCATATGATATATGAGCAGCCTCTCTTTATTGTGACTGCCTCTGTACTCACTGTGCCAAGAGCCTGAATATAGACAGAAGTTGTTGCACTGCACTAGCCCAAAGAACTACAATGGGCCCCTTTCTTCCAAACAATTGTTCCTCCGCAAGACACAGAGAACGGGCTACAGAGCAATGCACAGGCCCCCTGTAGAACATGCATTCTCAGACATGGCCCAACACTACCCTGTGAAATCTGCTGATGCAGAAATTATGAGATCAAAGAGAAACATTGGAGCCTTGTATGGAGTCTATACTAAAATTGTTGGCTAATAAATAAAGGCGTTCTAATTGTCTAATTAGTAGAATGTTAAGGGATGTCAGGTGGTGTGCTGTGTGATATTGCTACAAAATCTCAATGTCAGGTTGCCTTATTTCTGTATTTGCTAGTGTTAATGATATTGTATTTTGCTGTTTTGTATTATCTCACTTACCTACGCAATCACAGATTGGAAAATCAGGTTGAACATCTTTCCCAGGTGTATCAAGCAGGTTCTTGGTGGGAGTGTCCAGGTAGCGCAATGGTGACTCAAGAAAACCTTTAAGTGAAGGTGAGGAGGGAAAGATATCCTTGGTGGGAGTATTGAAATCATCACCCTCTCTGTCTGCAGAGAAACATGCAGTTGTGGAGAGCACGGTCACACCATTGGATGATTCAATCTTCATACGTTTATTTGGAGGAGAAAAAGGTGCAACGAAGGGGTTCTGTTGCTTCAGAAATTCAGACAGGAGCTCCCCTGAAGGTTTCACATCCAATGCACATTCCTCACTTTCCTGTTTGACAGTACAGAGCTCCTCAGGTGGCAATGGTGTTTTTTCCTTCTGTCTTTCAGGTATGTCCTTTTGACCTTCGTTCATGGGCTCAGACTCATTTGTGGGAACAGGAGGGCAGTTGTTTGGCTGCTTTAGGGATGGTGACTCGGGTCTCAATTGTCCTGAGTTTGGGTGCGACTCGGTCACCACTGGTTGAACAGGGCCATTCTCTGGGGTCTCGGCTGCAGAAGCTGCAGTGTCCCCAAACTCCTCCTCAAACTGCCGAATCAGCTCTTCAAATTTTGGATCTAGGTTACTGAGGCCAGCCAGAGAAGGAGATGGCTGTGTTGTAGATGTTTGAGGTGTGATACTGGTTGTTGGGATGCTGTCATTTGATCCAGCTGAGCCTGGGCATGCTATTACCTTCTGGGTTGATGGTGCTAGGACTGACACAGGGTTAGTAGAAGAATGACTATTTTCAGAGATGGGTGCACTACTGCAATTTATAATGGATTCCTGAGATTGAGCTGGAGCTGGGTGGCTCTCAGCCACCTGAGTGGGGGGAAGCCCAGCTTCCATGCCTGGCAAAGATGGAACAAGCTGAGCTCGGGATGGTGCATAACCTGGAGAAATGAGAGGTGGTTTTGATATTGTAATCTGGATCTGTGGTAGAAAAGTTGGCTGGGAAGCTTTTTGTTTATGCTTCTTGATAACAATCGGTTTGGGTTTTGGAAGAGGTGTGCCCAGTGGACCAAAAGGCCCACCAGCTGGCTGCTTTAGATGAGAACTTTGAGCACCCTTTTTCTTTTTAGGTTCCTTGTGTTCCTGTTTGATGTTAATGAGATTCTCTGGAATAGTCTGAGGCCACCATTTACGAAGGTCCTGACAAGCCATGTGGGCTAATGGACCATATGTTGGGGAATTAGAGAAGAGATTACGTTTATGATGAAGGTGCTGCTGTAGTGCTGCCTGAGTTGAGTGCCTAATGGTGGAGGATAACTGCTGACCCTGAAACTGCTGCTGGCCATTTAGCATCCCTTCCTGGCCCATGACTGAGCATTCTGATCCCAGGTATTCTTTTGTTTCCACCTCCTGCTTTATGTGAGGCATCCCAGTAAAGCTGCCCTTATGAACATCCTGTAAGCTGGGGTGAGGGAATGGGAACTTGAACGGGTGCTTTCCACCGGTGTCTCCAAGAAGTTGCTTCAGCTCAGACACTGGGTCACTGCTCTCATGGGATGGCTTTGCAAAATGTTGTTTAGAGTCTGTGTTTGCCATCATCCATGCATTGCGAGGGGAGTTTTTCTCACAGCTACTAGCTGTGCCCTGGTTCCACTGCTGAGGTCGAGGATTGGGGCTTGATGCGTGCATATTTGTAAATGGGGGCTTGGAAGATGGGTATGAGGAAGAATAATGAGAGGAGCTAGGAAAAATGTTTGCTGTAGGGGCCTCACCCTTAGACTGAGGTCTCTGTTGCTCCCATGTTGTAAGCTCTTGTTGAGGGTAATGATTTGACTGTGGAATAGCAGAGGTGGCAGAGGAGGACAACAGAGGACCAGGTGATGAAGAAACAACTTGTGGCATGTTCTGGTGGTAGGAGGTTGGCAGATGCTGATGGTGATTTGCAAGTGAAGACTCACCAGGAGGTACAACAGTTTGTGGGACAGTGGCAGACAACTGGGTCAGAGCCTCAATTGCAATGGCTGTTTGCAAACTAACATTTCTTTCCTTGGCTATGGACAGAACACTAGGGGAGCAGGGAATAGGTGCTGGTGGGCCAAAGGGTCTAGGAGTAGAAGGCTTGTTAACAAGGGGCTGTGGATTTGTGTCTTGCACACACAATGGTTTACCTCCACATTGTTGAGGTTGGGATTGGGAATAATGATGCTGTTCAAGTGGCTGTTGAGCCGTACCCGAAAGATTACAGGAAGTTTTATTCTGACAGTTAGTCACCAATTTAATTTGCTTCTCTAGCCACTCCAGGTAATCAGGGCAGTCTGGGCCATCACAATCACAATTAGGTGGCTTGTGGCCATGACGGGCCTTGCTCAGTGCTGCCTGCAGAGTGTTTAGATCTTCAGGGGGGCAAAACGCACCATCAACACCTTTCTTTTTGGCCTCCTCACCTCCATTGGACATTTCCTGATTGAATCTTTCATACAGCTGAGCTGTAGGGGTCGGTGAAGGTTGGTGGTTGGTGTAAGGTGGCAGTGAGCCAACAGAAAAGGCCACCAGAGTTTGTGCATCCTCCATATCCACATCATTTACTGTTGTGCTGGCATTTTGACCACTCCAAACACCTTGTTGAGATTCAGGATTTGACAACTTCCCAGTATGCTCAAGGACCCAGCCTGGTGTCTGGGAAATACTTCCAGCCCCCTCATGAAAGTTATGCTGGTGTTGCTCCTTGGTTGCATCTCTGTCTTCATTATCACAAACATTTTCTTCATTAGATGCATGTTTGCTAAGCCCATTAGAGAGTTCCTGGTTTAATAAGCCTTCTTCCAGGCGTTCATGGGACCCAATTTCCATCTGGCCTTTTCCTCTGGGGCCATCCACTGAACCCACCACAGAAACAGTCTGTAGAAGAGCAGAAGAAAACATACAAATTACTTCACAGTAGTTTGGCAAAGTTACAGTGTAAATGCAAGATTTCAGTCATTATATTTCTAGCTGTGATGTGATGCATTTATTACACCATACAAAAATAATGGACAAATACTATAATAATGCATTAATTACAGGCTAATTCAAACAAATATTGTTATAAAATTTTCTACAGAAACAAAGACATGCTGTTGACCTCTACTAACTAAGGTCAATGCGAATTTTGGAAAACTTTATACTTTGGCTGATGGAGAAATCTTAAGTCATCATATATTCTGCTTAATTTCACTCTGTCCACTCAAGCAAAAACATCCCATGATGACAACATACCTGTATATTTTTCAAGAGCACAATGGAGAACAAATTGGAACCAGTTCAACTGTCTCATGCAAATACAAACCCATATTTACAATTATAATACAGCTCACAATTCAAAAGCAAACATACTAAGAATCACTTCCTGGTTCCCAGTTTTCAAAAATCATTTTGGCTGTTCTTTGAAATCCAGTTCTTTTTTATGTGAAAGAGTTGAAGAGATGATTGTTCAAGAAACTGTGAACAGGTACCAGATTAGTGTGAAAGTTTAATATCTACATGAATCTTTTTGACATATACAATGATGTATCTGTAACATAAATATATATATATATATATAACCATTAGCTTATGTAATTGAAAGTTGCTTGTTTTTATTGATCTTCTCTGCCAAGAGTGGATAAAAACCTCTATGCTCTTCACAAGACAAATACAAGGCTGTGTCCATGATAAGGCCATATCTTACAAAAGAGGACCTTGTGGTTTCATCATGTTTGCCATATATGAGGAAATCACTCATTTAAAAGTAGTATGCATAGCTCAAATCTACTCAGATATTTAAGCAGTAGCAAAGCGTCGACAATATTAGAACATACAATACCTTACATAAGTCTTGTTGTCTATCCAAGTTTTAGGAACAACAAATAATAACTTCTAGTTGATCATTTGGTATCAGAAGTGGCCTATATGAAGCCTCTAGATTACGCTTATTTTACCAAAATAAAAGATGATCAGGGGTTGAATTTTAATTATTTAATTAGGACATTAAGGTCTGACTTTGCTTAGACAAAAGTCTTGTCACTTGACAGAAACAATGTACAGTATAGAATAAAGAGTCATGGTGCAGTGGAAAAAGAATTAATATTGTGAATGACTCCTATGAGCTTGGAGGACTGCATCCATACATCTCAGCAATGACTCAAATAACTTATTAATAAAGTCATCTGGAATGGCAAAGAAAGCTTTCTTGCAGGACTTTCAGAGTACCTCAAAATTCTTTGGATTCATCTTCAATGCTTCTTCCTTCATCTTACCCCAGACATACTCAATTATGTTCATGGTGACCGGGCTAGCCGATTCTGGCGCACCTTGACCTTTTTTGCCTTCAGGAACTTTGATGTGGAGACTTTTGTCAGGTAGTGTAGTATAAGAACTGTTCTGCATAAACCCAAAGTTGTTAAGACACCCAAGACAAGATGTGCATGTTGAAGAGCACCCAACTAACTCAAATGCATTGGAACTAAATGACTGTTATTGTCCCTTCATTGGGATAGGCTCTCTGATGGGTTATTGACCTTATTCTTCACGTGCGAGCGGGCACAGCCATTGGAATCTTTTTGGAACGAGACTTCTGCTGTCACTCACTTCCATTGATTTCTAGATGTTGAAAACAGCTCGAATGCTGCTTGATGTTGATATTTTCTTATTGTATTCTACTGCATAGCCATTAGCACACTGTAGAGTAAGTAGTTTGCCCGTTTTCCACCATTTATTGTTCATTTCTCTTATAAGCAACTGAATCGAAAGTTCTGAAACAATCGTAAAAACGAGCGAACTTCTGCATCGCAGAATAAGTTCAATACTAATAGGCAAATTGTTCAAACACTTTGAATTCATCCTCTGTGTTGGTGTCTGGTTAGACCCCCAATGGGGGTGTGTGCCAGCCACAGAGCAGACTAATTGTGTGTGTATGTTTCAAAACATGTGTCAGACAGTGAATGCGAGCTTGCACTCTACTTGCCAACACCGGTCACACTTCAACTCTTCAAAAAAGCCGAACCACACAATTGTTACAACAGGAGCCTTTTTCCTCTTTTCGGTGATGCAATAAAAACTCACGTGCACCCCGTCACGCAGAAAACTTTCACAATACAGTCTCAGTGTCACCACTGGGTTCAGAAAAATGCCCAACACATGCAAAAAACACTAGACAGGTTTGCATTCCAAACCTTTGAAAGCTCACATGTGCCATGCAAGACAGCTATCAGATCAGTGTTACACACATATATATACCCTCTACACCTGCAAATAAACACCTGTCTGACAGCAGAAACACGTGCAATTATCTGAGGCGTGCCAGGGTTTTCATTGCTGCCAAAACTCTCCCCCTCTCCTTACATACACACAGCTACTACTACTACTACTACAACACATTAACACGCCCAACCAGAATAGACTGTAAAACCGGTTTTACTCAGTATAAGGAGGTGCCCTTTAAACTCAGGCTGTATGCGTGATCTACTATGCCTCAGAAATGATACACAATTAACCGACTTCTCAGAGGTTGACAGCCCAAAGCAATTAAAACAGAAACTGCAGATGGGGTTAAAAGCTTAGTAGTAGACAGCTGAACATGGTAAGACACGCAACTCCCCCCCTCCGGGTACTCCTGTATATATCACCATCAAAATACAATGCATACAGAGAGGAATGAACAGAACCGTGTCTACTCACAGTGGTCTAGCTGTCCCAATAACGTTGCTGAAGAGACAAAGGTGGGAAATGTGGACAGGAAAGTGCATGGAATACAGCGTTTACAAAAAAGTGCCTAATAATAAAAAAAGAAGACAGCCTGTGAAAAAAATCCACTATGGGTTCCTTTCTCGTCTCTTTCTTTCTCTCTCTCTCTCTTTCTCCCTCTCTTCTAAAGCAGCCAGGCAGTGCGGCACACGGACGGACGCACACACACTCACGCACGCACGCACACACTCTGTCATACACACCTCCCCCACGCGCTCACTCTGTTTCTCTTCCTATCGCCACTGTCGTTTCTCTCTTTCTCCCTCTTTCATTATGTCTCTCTGCTCCTCCCTTCCCTTTTTCTATATTCTTCTTTTTCTTTCTGCTTTTCGCATTCGCCGTCTGCTTACAGGCCCCCCCCCCTCTTTCTCTCGCTCGCTTACTCCCTCCCCCTCCCTATTTTTCTCCCTCCCTTCATTTTTCTCCTCCCCCTCCTTTTTTTCTGTGTGTGCAGAGTGAGAGAGGCCATTATCTGAGCCACACTGGGCACGTACGATGGAATGGTGGAGCGCACAGGAAATACAGCCGCTGCAAAGCATCGAGAGAGAGAGTGCAACTGGCAGACTGGCTGGCTACTGCGCTAAATAAAGGACTGTATAAACAAAGATCTATGGCTCATAACACAGCATAGATCCATTCAAAACAAAAACGCTCAGCTGTTTGTTATTTTAGAAGGGCTTGGTGTCACGTTTTGATGTTCAGTTTGGGCTCTGAATTCTGAGACACTCCATAAGATGGAGGCTGCAGCAGTAAATGCAGTCATCTATTGACACACTAAATGGCAGCTGCTGTGTGATAACAAGAATAACACAAAAAAGACAAGGAAATGGAAATGACTGGCTCCGATGTATGCTCATGTCATTGATGCGTTTTTTTTTGTTTTGTTTTTTGGATGGTGTTGGGCTCTTTGCTGTGCATTTAACCTTGTAAACATCATAACATTCTGATTTTGAACAGATGATAGCTAGGAGAAGATTCTTACAGGCACGGCATGCACATGTGCTAACACCTAACCGAATCTAGACACTTTGAAAGGAATGGCAGTCGTCAATGTTAAATATGAAGAATATACATGGGTGTGCTTGTAGAGACGGTGTGCTTATGTCAAGCAGAGGCAAAAGAGTCTCGAATCCGAGGAACACAGGATGTGAGGGGGAAAGCACAGCAACTCTAAGAAGCAACCACAAGGTACAGCGAGGTTAACAGGAACCGCAGAGAGAAAGGAAGCACTAAGTTTGAAGTGAAAATACTGCAAATAAAACAACACGTGCATTTATGCACATGCTTTTTTTGGCTGTTTAACTAGTCTGAATTGTCGATGACATTTGTTCTGTTCGCAAGCGAAACAGAGCACCAAGGTGGTTGTGCATTGATACAGAAGATCCGATGTTTGCGTGAGGGATTCCGGGGTAGGAGATAGCAGAAGACAGAGACAACGATGGTAAGCAACTGTTCAGTTTGAAGGACAAATTGGTGAGCGTTCTCGTAGTCCTAATCATTTTCTGCTTTGGCATTTCTCTGCTTTCTTTCCTGCTTAAAGACTTTATTTAATGCCAACCCATCTCTTCGAAGCTTCTCAGCTGGGTCTCGCATACTCGCTCTTTTGTTGCCATCTTTTCTATCTCTACCTCTCCCTTTTCTCAATGAGCTTATTTTTGTACTTGCCCTGTTCAGTAAGTGCGATGGCAATCTTCTTTGATAGTTGCTGGAAAGCCCCTCTGTAGAATCATTTTAGCATTATGAGGATGTGATCGCAGACTGCATAATGCGCAATTTGTATAAACCCGCATAACCTCTTGCCATCTTCGCGACTCTTGTCGTCTTTCCGTCTGATCAGTGTTTTTCTCTCCCGCTCGCTCTCTCTGTTGAGTCCTGCCAGTTGGATCGCCACCGTCAACACAGTGAAGGCAAGGCAACCCCATGGACTAAACACACAGAACCAAAGCCTGAGCAGCGAGGTAAAGTGCACTGTCACTGGCGGAGAAACGAGTGAATGAGAGCGAGGAAGAATGGAGAGTGGAAACCGTTATGACGTTGCAGTTACGTCACCACAGTCATTTAATGCTCTCGGTTGGCGATAGAGGGCCGGGCAGATGTGTCATAACACATATTGTGGATGTGCCTCCCCTTACACACAT